AGCTCCTGGTCCCTGGCCAGTGGCCAGAGAATGCTAGAAGGATGCAGGCGACTCCTGACCTGAAGAGAACTGCCCGCGGCGACCCCGGTGTGGACCAGCGGATGGGACGGGAGAGGCACCCCCGCAGCTCCGAGCAGACCCCGAGTGCTGGAGCCGCCCGCGGTTCTCCAGGAGCACGTGTGGGGACCCGCTGCTGCGGAATCGTCACCCTCAGCGGGAAGCAAGCAGTCCACACAGAGACGACCGAACTCAGGAACGGAAGTGACAGCGCCTGCAGCAACTGTGCGCCTGAAACGTGCAGGCCAGGCCGCTGTCCCAGCCAGCTTCCGCCCCTCCTCCCGGTCTCTGCTGCAAATGCCACGTCCTCGGTGCTCAAGAGACACGCAAGGCCAGGCCTAGCTAGGTTCAGCTGCCCTTTTAGAAAAAAGAAATAAAACACTCAATTTGCCATAATTAGGTGTTCTTTCTTAGATTAGGGCGGATCTCTGAAAAGATGGCACCTGGAAAAACTGATGAGAGAAAAATGTATTTTAAAAAGAAAATATTAGCTGTGATCCATTCTGTTTTATGATCCTTTCTGTTTTAATCATGTCAACATGAAACATTATTTTCTGTGAGTTAGAGTGCTCACGGTAACCACAGGGATGAGAAGTCTCACTGTGCACACACATGGATATTTTGCACACGTATCTCTGTGTATGCAATGTCAAGATCAAACCGTGTTTGGACTCTGCATGTATACCCACATATGTGTAGAGATTATGTTTTTTAAAAGATTACGATTAATCTCCTTACCCAACTGACATGAACATTTGTGTGGGCTGTTTCTTTTTATTGAGCAATGCTTGAGCTGCTGAGACCTCTCTCTCTCTCTCTCTCTCTCTCTCACACACACACACACACACACACACACACACACACACACACACACACACACACACACGTTAGGTAAATCTGATGTCCAGACTGACTTTGCATTCTTACTCCCAGCTTCATGTGCCCAGCTGTACATTCTTGCCGTTCCTTTCGAGACTTTAAATATTTTCTATTTCTCACAGAGCTGCTGTTTATCTGAGCCCATCGTGAGCAGGGCACCAGTTTGCTCTTTGGTAATCAGCTCCAAGTCACAGAGGAAGGAATGTATCTGGTCTGCGTGTGACAAGCCAGGCAGGCCTGTCCTGCTGACATTTTCTAGGTTAACAGAAAGGTGTTGTCTAAAGGCTTGAGGGTGGCATGCGTGAGCTGCTTGAAGTGGCCACATGAGCCAATCGCCCAGGGTCTCTTCTCAACTGCTAGTTCAGTGACATCACATTGGTAGCGTAAAATTGGGCATGATGGAAGTATTTACATCATGGAAATTGGCACATGCTACAAATCAGAACCACAACCCTGTAACCTCTCCACCCCCACCCCCACTGTCAACCATTTATCAGGATACCACTGGAGTGGGCCTGTTGTAACCCACAGGGAAAGCAGCACCTTTTGCTAAGGCTGCTCTGATCCCTGGAATATAACTGCTGAGGCTACAAACTGACATGTGACCTGTGCCTCAAGAGTGCCCTGGCTGTTGCCTTGACTGGACAGTATGTTTGTGGTTGGTGCTGGGATTTGTAACAGGCTTGCCCTCCCAGGTGAGGCCCACCCCAGAGCAAACACACACACAGTCTTGTCAGCAGCTACGTAGCTTCCTAGCAGCTGGCACGCCATGTGGAATCCCCATTTGTAGAACTCTAGGGTTTATCAGGTTTCCTTTGCCAGTCTTTCTTTTTCTGATCCTCTTATTTCTAAAGATGCTTTTGGCTGACTGGTTAGCTCAGTTGGTTAGAGCGCAATCTTGTAATACCAAGGTCAAGGGTTCAGTTCCCGTACAGGCCAGCCACCAACCAGGGGGGAAAGAAAAGACGCTTTAAAGATCCAACATACAAGTATACTGAGCAAACCGAAAGCCAACTGCAAGTCCCAAAGGCCCCTTAAGGCGGTCCATCTCTCTGGGACAGGCCCAGACCTCTGAGCTGGAAAAACACCTCCTCTAGGGCAGTGGAGGGCATGAGCCCAGGGAGCCCTGCCATCCCCTTCCTTAGCATGGTTTGGTGTAATGACCCTTTTAATTAAAGAGTGTAGGTTGCCTTACTTTATCCACAGGCTATGGGACAGAAAAATACTCTGGCCTTTGCATTCTTGAAAACAGTAAGAGAGAAAATAAATTACATCAAGTTTCAATAGTCTCCAGACATAAGAATTAAAGACTCTTTTTGTACTCTCTACGAATGTTAAACTATAAAGAGACCTACGCTCATAACCAGTGCCTTGTTTTGCAGGGAACCGTGGGGCCCCCTTAAAACAGACTGCGTTTAGTTCCACGTAATAGCTGGATCTGTATTTTAATTAGCCATGGCAATGAAACAAAGGAATGATGGTAACGCATAATTTAAAACATAACAAACCAGCCAGAAACCCACCCTTAACTACTGTCTTCCACTCTCCAACCTTGATCAAATATCAATAAGAGCTTTAACTATGGAGAAACTGATGAGTGTGGTAATGTCTCAAAACTGGACAACAAAAGAGAAAAGCAAGAAACTGGCTAATTTGCCATCAGAAATTGCTCTGCACGCATTATCGAAATTTCTATTGTTCCTTAACATGGAGTTCATCTCTACCTTCTTGCTACATGGTTTAACTGGTCTCTCAAGAGGCAGCACTCAGGTTATCACAAACCTAAGAAATGGGAGAAGGCCGGAAAGATGAAGAGAAAGACCAAGCGGCTTTCCAGCCACTACTTTTTTTTTTTTTATTGCTTCCAGAAAGATAGGATAGAACAAAGTCTGATGGGCTGGGTGTGAGTCAGAAGGTCAAGTTAAAATATTTGGCCCAATTAATCTTCAGTGAGTTTGTTTGGTTTTTTTCCCTCTGGGCTAAGGTTCTTCAAGAGGATGATACAGACAGATGTTGGTCCTAGTGGTCAAGGCCGGGTCAGAAGGCAACACAGAGCGGAGCTCAGAGTGCAGCTTAACACCCCGGTTCCCCAGCAGAGACAGGCTGTGAGGACGGGTCACTCTCCAGCTGCACCATTCCCTTAAAAGCAAGAAAGAGAGAGAGGACACCATCTACCAGAATGGTTTCTAAAACATGCAAGGAGGGCCTTAAACTGAAGGCTTTTAAGCAAAAATGACACCCTCTTCTCTGAAGTATTTGGATGTAATAGTATTTCAAAAAACTCAATACTTCATAAGCAAGGGCGGGACTGCCAGTTGGAAAGACTTGATCACAAGTAGCAGGAACAGGTCTCGCTTTTGCTATGGTTTTAAGTACCCACATAAGCACCTACTTCTAGAGAAACACTTGCCACCATCACCTACCTTCACAAAATTCCTGGAGGAAGAAAAGCTAGTTTTTAGCTGACCTCAAAAGTCTAGATGCGTGTTTCTAAAGGTCACAGGCATAAAAGACACCTATGCCAAATCCTTTTTCCCCTGTGGAGTCAACCCATTCCCTACCAGTCTCCAAACGGGGAAAACTCTTATGCCAAGCATCTGCCTCTAGTGCAGCCACCTAGCAAAACCAGGCAGATATATATGCAAGGATTCTTTTTACTGATTAGAAGGCTGCCTCAGGTTGAAGATAGGTAGCTCTTTGAAAGCCTTTATTGGACAAGTATTTACATTTTTAAACAGCTGATTATAATATAAATCAGGACAAGTTTTTTCAAAGAGCAAATTTGATAAATACTACCAATATATATACTTTCACTAAAGGAGACTGACATTTCTGATTATACATATAAGGGAAAAGATTTTTTTTTCCTGCTTTTTAGAAACTGTTAAATCTGTCTACTTTGGAAAACGCATATGCACTATGAAGTGTTTTAAGGAAGGAAAGATGGATTCTAATACTCCTTATAATAAAAAACATTCTGAGGGGCTTAGGCAACTTCAAGGGAAGCAAAACTCAAGAATGAAGAATACTATAGTACAAAATTATGGCCAAAAATACTGTATTTTTAACCAGCAAGATCATTGGGGCATTATTATACAACATTAGGTGTTTTTTGCAAAACTAGTCCCCATCCCCAAACAATAGACAATACATGCATTTGAATGACATTTTAAGAACATAAATATGATTCTTTTAAATACTGCAAGTTAAAAATGTTTTCTGACAAAACTCCCTAAATACATAGGTCTAATAAAGGTTTCCAACATGATGGGTAAGGAATCCAGCAAGAAGTTGCATTTAGAGTTCTCTGAGGAAATCTACCAAAAACGTGTTTCCGTCAAAGTAACCTGGACAAAGTTACAGTTATTTTTCATCTTTCTTTCCTAAAACTTGAAAATATTCTACTGAAGAATACCTTCCTCCCTGTTATTTTTTTCTGTCTTTCAAAAGCTCATATGAAAGTCAGGATTCCTTTATCCAAGTAAGATCCAATTTTATCCAATAGATGTTTTCATAATATGTAAATGTCACTTACTACTGGGTTGGAATTATATGGGGAAATGGCAGATACGTGGGAGATAAAGAAGGTAAGGGAATTAATATCTGAGCACCTACTATGTGCCAGGTGTGTACACATACTTTGAACATACGATTCTAGAGGCAAGAGTGTTATGAAAGGGCAGTGGTAGTTGGGAAGACAGCAGAAAACGGTTTGTTATTCTGTGAGAGAAACAAACGACAAGTTTAGACTCTGTACTAAGTTTAGACTCTTTATCTACTAAACAGCAGGTGTCTGGCTCCAAACATCTCTGGCTAATCGTGTACAACTAAGCCACTTCTTTTCCTAACTTGATGGAACCAAAATGAAATCCCAAGGACACAGTTACCAGGACAGATCTATTAACGCTACATATGCTGGAAATATGTAGAGATAGATATACAATATTACTAGTTTTAGTTTTGTGTGTGTTTCTAACCAAAGATATATCTTTGGAAGAAAACATGAATGTATACCAAGCACACCTTATTTGTACCAATTGAGATGTTGTTAATTACCAATTAAGTGATTTTAAACCCTTATTTAATTTTAAGAAGAGCAGCAGTATACATTACAATATGTGGGTACACTTTATTTTTAGATGGGTTAACATTCTGCTATACTTCATTCTTTTTGAGAAACTGAAAACAAAGGGAGACTGAGGGTGATCTGAAGGTGATTTGAGGGGAGTTTCCAACCAATATCTGAGTCTTGCAGTATCGCATTATGCAGCCCTTTCTTCCCATTATTTATTTATTTATTTATTTTTTGCAAATAATAAAGTCATTTTGACCCAAATCCAGAGTAAATAGCTTTTCACCAATTCCTAACTTAAGACAACTAAAATTTACAATCATGTGGCAGTATAAATTTTAAAATTACAGTTCGTACACCTTAACAATCAAGATAGTATAAAGTACAAAAAGTAAATTGCCCTTTAGCTGAATTATCTTTTTAAAATATTAGGCCTGCTAGTTAACCTACCAAAAAAAAAAAAATACAAGTTTCAGGTGTTCTTCAAATACCTTTTGTAGATGTCATCTGCTAGTAAACAACATGTGCAGGTTCATAAGATTTCTTTTTCCCCAGTCTGTTCATGACATTCAACAGAGCTCTTACATGGAAAAGTTAAAAACAAAACAAAACAACTTCTAGGGGATTTTTTTACTTTTGAATGGGTGTGTTATTTCCCTTTGTTTCAGATATGAGGCACAAACTTTTGAATTTAAGCTCTGTAAGGCATAGTAGAAACTTCCAATTTACAAATAAGGAATTCTCTGTGGGTTGGAACTGCTATGTCACGCAAAAAGGGAAAAATCATCTGTAAACTGGTACACTGCAATGTGTTAAGTGAGTCATGAAATGGCTGCTTGCCTTGGTATGCTGCAGAAAGGTTTCTGAGTTGTGTGTTTTTGTTTTTGAATAAGACATGCCCAAGTCACCGTAAAATTCGCCACAGGCCTCCATTACCTAGAGCATCAACAATAGGAGTCCAGTGGCTCACGCTTATAATGCTTGCAATCACAATATAATATAAAGCATGAGTAAACTTTGTTTTTATACAAAACTGAAAAGAATCCCTTCCCGCCCCCAGCCCCTTCAATAAAACCCCAAAGAAACAAAAGAGAAAATCCTTTAGCTTCGATTGACTAGTGTGGATACAAATAGGTTTCAACGCATCGCTGCAGCTAGGGTGATCAATTTTTTCCTTTCTCAAGAGAAGGGATCTTGTCATGCACCCTAGGATGAACAGTGAAGCTGCAAACCTCAATTCTGCATAGCAAATTCCATCTCAATTTCATAAAGACAAATATAACAATCTTTCCCTGTTTTGCTCAGCTTCTTTGAGCTCTGAAATCAGGTTTAATTGACTACATCTACTATAACTTTAATTAAATAGAATATCTTGATTCCCTAAAACTGTAACACTTATGATCTTGTGATGAGGTTTTCTCTATACACACTGCAGGCCTTCAAATGTTGTTGTTTACCCTTTTTTTTTTTTTTTTTTTTTTTTTTTTTTTTTTGGGTTTTTTTTTTTCCCCCCCCCGGGCTTTAAAATTTTTTTTTTTCCCTTTTTTTTTTTTTTTTGGGTTTTTTTTTTTCCCCCCCCCGGGCTTTAAAATTTTTTTTTTTCCCTTTTTTTTTTTTTTTTTTTTTGCTGCACCAAATTTAAGATTGCCCTTTCAGGCAAGCAGTGGTCTCTAGCTGTTAAAACATTTCCTTAATGGATCACAATAGCTTCTAAAACTGCCTTTCTAATAAAGGCCATCAGAGAGGTAATACTAAACTGTGCATTTGCCAAATAAGAATATGAATTGTATAAAAGCTCATATTCCAATCCTAGATCAAATGGCAAAAGTTCTACAAAGTTGGTTTCCATGTTTGTATAAAAGCTCCGACTGATTTTATGTATTTTGCTATGAAATTACCTTTGGGTCTTATAATCAGTATACCTCTACTTAGGAATGTGCAAATGATTTTATACAGCACGATGCTAGTACCGCTCTGTACGACAGTAAGGTTTTTTTTTCTTCTTTTCTAAATGGAAAAAAAAATCCCTAGTCAGAAATAAACTGACAAATTTACATTCTCCTCTCTTAAAAAAGTAAATAAAATAACATTATTCAAAATATGAATTAGCTATAAGACATACAATACAATTACATAGATACATATCAATACAGCACATTCAATCTGCCAAAAATTAATGATTTTACAAAGCCAGTACGAGACGCTGCAATATCAAGAGAGATGTATGTACAACGATTAGAGCATCTGTAATCGCACTATACCTGTAGGCAGTCTGCTAAATTAAATTACAGGTGCTTTCTGAGCAAGGGGGAAAAAAAAGTAACCTGTGTTGTTTGAGGTTGGGAGAGTAAAGAATGAGAACATTACTATTTAGTAATTTTGGTACTCAAATAAGGTGTTAATTTTCTCTCTCTCCCTGGTTGTTTCAAAAGAGTAATTTATATGGAAGTTTAGACTAATGCCAATTAGTATTGTAGTTAAAATGAGACCAGCATCATGGCCTAATTCTGACTTCCCAGCAACTTTAAAGCAATATAATTTATTTTCTTAAATCACATTTCAGCTCAAGCTGCTTGACAGAAGCTCATCGATACATTTATTTATTTTTTGCATTTGTTGAAAAATTGCACATATAGAATCCCAAACATCTCTCCTAGTAGGTTCAGTTACATAAATACATGTTCTATAGTACACTGAGAGGTTACTTTGGAGTTAAGTCCACAAATCTTCCTTAAGTTCAACCTAACCAGTCACCAGTTCAAGAAGATCCTGAAGATGGTAAACTAGTCATAACTTCAGATTTTGCATATTATGGGTGTCAGAATAATACTATCAACCAACGTTCTTGGCAGACTCACTTTGAACTTAAAGAAGAAAAACTAGCTTCAAAAAAAGAGACACAAGCAGATTTCATGTTAAACCACACAGGATGCTTTTCTACACTGCTGATTTGGACACTCAACGTGGGACATGGACTTCAATTAAACAATGTGATCTTACGGGCAAAGAAAGTAATAGACCGTGAGAATCAAATTTACAGTTACCAATTGTTTGGCAACTGGTATTTCAGGTTCATTCTCAGCCTGTCATTTTAGGCTTTACAGTCTTAACTCTCTTACATTTTAAGATAGTGGCTTCTATTTTTTAAGTTTTTCTTCTTAATTTTGTTTTACAAAAAGCCAGCTTTGGCAACACATTCCCATAATAAAAGTAATTTTTAAATTGTTGCCCAAACACTAAGGGGAAAAAGGAGGGAGAAAAAATTTGAACCAAAAAAAAACTAAGAACAACCTTAGACCAGGTTCTGGGTAGCAGCCATTGCAGTAATGTAGTGTCTGTTGGCATATTTTTTTTTTTTTGGCATCTGCAATTTAAAGAGAGAGTGGGGAAAACAATGAAAGAAAAAGGAAGAAGGGAGGAAGGACAACGGCACATGGCATTTCATCCTAAGAAAGGACTCTTTCTGTGTCTCTTTGCCCTTGACTTACTAACTTCTGTGTATTTCTCTGAGCAATCAAGGTGTGGCTGAAGGCAAAAATCCAAAAGAAATGACATTTAACCATTAGATGGGCATCCACTGTCCCAGCCCAAAGTGAGACAAGACGATATATATATTAAAGAAGAAACTATGTGTGTGTATCCAGAGCAATACATTTTAAACCACAGTATTAATACATATAATCCTTCAGCAAAAACTACAAACTGTTAAATTAAGCTGATGCATGATGGCTTAAATCGAATGACGTTGTCCTGACTGTATCATTCAAGAGAAAAACCTGACCAAGAATGGAACTAGGATAAAGACCGTCGTAACCTGGGGAAAATCAGGAGAGAGGTATGGATTAGGAAAAAGGGCAATCAGCTTTGTTTTGCTCAATAAAAAAGAAAGAGAGAGAGAGAGAAAAGGAGAAACAACTCATCTTTGTGAATGTATTACTGAGAATTTAAAATATATTGAGTCACAAGGTTTTGCCTAAAAAAAAAGAAGAGAGGAAATGTGCTGGGACTGTACTTCAGCATCCTCTGAATAGTTTAAATAAAATCATAATATTTACTACAAACTCTGTGGACACGCTCACACAGAGTCCAGGACGGCAATAAATTAGTATTATGCAAATTGTTTTCCACAGAAATACAGTCCCTCTTGTGTATCTTCGACAGCCCACCAGGGAAGGGCAGGGCGGGTGTGGAGGAGGCACAATTAGACCAGATTGTACTCCTTCAGGTTCAACTGCAGGATGGTGTCCTTGACGGCAGCAAAGACAAAGCGGATGTTCTCGGTGTCTGTGGCGCATGTGAAGTGGGAGTAGATAATTTTGTCACTGTCTGGGTTCAGGTCCACGAACATCTTTAGGATGAATTCTCGAGCTGCTTGGGCATCTCTCTGGGGTCCTGTTGGCCAAGTGAGGAGAGGGACAGTTTGTTAGCTGATCTGTTCATGTGTCCATCCATCATCAGTTCAATAAATATTTATCGTGTCATTGCCCACGAAGACTACAATCACTTTTCCCAACACTACTGTGTCATCTCTCTTGTCACTTTAACTGCCCATCCATCCATCCATCCAGCCATCCAAAAAATGTGGATAGGTGAAAACAGACATGACTTGAAGGCCAGGCTAAGAAATAAGTTTAGGCTGGCCTTTGCTCTGATTCCTTGAGTGACAGGGAGCCACTGCAGACTCCTCAGTGGGGGAGTGATAGGTCAGTTCTGTCCGCCTGTGTTAACTGTGCTGGTCTCAGCTATATACTAAGTGTGCATACAGACAGCTGCCCCAGGATCTCTTGTCAACCTGCCCACTAAAGACTCGACGTTATGGATCATTTTACATTTTCCAAACTGAAATCTCTCTCACAATAGAACACCTGTTCCTTAAGGTCAGATCCACCTGCCATGGTCCTCTGCAGTCTCACTTCTACAGACTTCTGGTATTTCTGAGCACAATACATTTACATAGTATTCAATTCACTATGTGTGATGATAAAAAAAAATTGAATAACATTTATTCAAATAAGTTACATTAGTGCTGGCCCGTGGCTCACTTGGGAGAGTGCGGTGCTGATAACACCAAGGCCACAGGTTCAGATCCTTATATAGGGATGGCCGGTTAGCTCACTTGGGAGAGTGCGGTGCTGATAACACCAAGGCCACAGGTTCAGATCCTTATATAGGGATGGCCGGTTAGCTCACTTGGGAGAGTGCGGTGCTGATAACACCAAGGCCACAGGTTCAGATCCTTATATAGGGATGGCCGGTTAGCTCACTTGGGAGAGTGCGGTGCTGATAACACCAAGGCCACAGGTTCAGATCCTTATATAGGGATGGCCGGTTAGCTCACTTGGGAGAGCGTGGTGCTGACAACACCAAGTTAAGAGTTAAGATCCCCTAACCGGTCATCTTTAAAAAACAAAACAAAACAAAACAAAACAAGTTACATTTATTCGGGGTCTCTTGTGTACCAAGCATTGTTAGATGCTTTGAAAAAGGATTGCAACATATTTATCAGCATAAATTAAACACTTTTGCCATGAATTCTTAGATAGGATACCGAAGCACAGGCAACAACAACAAAAAATAGATGAACTGGACATCATCAAAATTAAAAACTTTTGTGCATACAAGGACATTATCAAGGAAGTGAAAAAGACAACCTATGGAATGGGAGAAAATATTTGCAGTTGTGTATCTGATAACATTTTAGTGTCCAGAATATATAAAGAATTCCTACAACTGAACAACAAAAAGACAAAACTGATTTAAAAATGGGCAAAGGACTTGAACAGATATTTCTCCAAAGAAGATAATAGCCAGTGTCCAGTGAGCACATGAAAAGATGTTTGACATTGTTAATCTCTGATGGAAACGCAAATCAAAACCACAGTGAGAAGCCACTTCACATCTACTAGAATGGCTGTAATAAAAACAGTGGGAAATAACCAGTGTGGCAAGGATATGGAGAAATTTGAACCCTTGCTCACTGATGGTAGGAATGTACAACGGTGCAGCCGCTGTGGAAAACTGTTGGTTCCTCAAAAAGCTAAACACAGAATTACTATATGATCAGCAATTCTGTGCTTAGGTTTATATCCAAAGAAATTGAGAGCAGGGGCTCTAACAGATACCCGTACACTAATGTTTATAGCAGCATTATTCAAACAGCCAAAAGATGGAAATAACCCAGGTGTCCATCAACAGATGAATAGGCACACAGAACGTGGTATATACATACAATGGAAATAAACCTTGAACACATTACACTAAGTAAAATAAACCCAACATAAAAGAATATTGTGATTCTACTTATCTGAGGTACCTAGAATGGGCAAATTCATAAAGACAGAAAATAGATAAGAAGTTACCAGGGGCTAACGGAAGAGAGAAATGGGGCACTGTTGCTTCATTGGGGTGGTAAAACTATTTTGGAAATAGTGGTAATGGCTGCACAGTATTGTAAATGTAATTAATGCCACTGAATTGCACACTTAAAAACTGTTAAAGTGGCAAATTTTATGTTATATATATTTTACCACAAATTAGAAAATTAAGTGTAATATGCCCCAAATCACTGTATTGTACACTTTAAATGGGTGAATTATATGGTATGTGAACCATATCTCAATAAAGCTGTTTAAAAAACTTATTTAATAGATCCTGTTAAACATATTAATTTGAGACATATTATTATAAATTAAGAACAACATCAAAACACCATCACTTTCACGTACTGAGCTTATATTTGCCTTTGGGCCACTATGTATCTGCATTTCCTCCCATTTTTTCTAGTTAGTTCTATACCAAGCAAGAAGGAGGTCACGCTATCAACTCCTTCCTCCTCCACATCCTTTCCTCTGGGCAAGACCCTTCCCGGGATTCACAACTTAGGTTTTTCTATGCATATTCCTGTTGTCTACTGGTTGGGATAAAAAACACCTTTGAGAACTCCACTGAGGCCCTGACCACCATTTCTAATGAAATGCACCCTGAGTTTCACACAGCCAACTTTCCAAACTTTTCAAACCAACATTATTATAAACTGGGGATTACTCCTATTAGTTTATATCCAACATTGCCAGAAGTTGGGAGGAAGGAGCTATGAAGACAAATAGATTATTCTCATTTGTACAAATGACAAAAGTAATGCTTGAATTTTTGACTTAGGTACCCAAATTTGAAATTTTTGTCAATGACTAAGAAGGCTGGCATCATATTAAATAAAAAAGTGCCACAATTAAAAATAATATGTAATATATATGTAGATAATTACTTAATGACCTATCTTTTTCAATGTATTACTGTTTACTTTCCCATTCCAGAGCAATAACAGAAAATATTTAAAACCAGAAATTAATAGATTGTTAGAGCTGGTGAACCCTTTCACTTTCATAAAAGAACTCTGTATTTCTGGATTGTGAATGAGTTACTATGTGATTTTTATACTTAATACATATAGGAAAGAAGGGACTACACCCTTTTTAAAATTTTTTATTTACCCTGAAGAACATCAGAACTAGATTCAAGTTCACTAAAGTGCACTTGGAGCGTTTTGTATTTTTAAGCATAAATTATGTTATTTGAATAAACATCAATTACAAAGAAATCATTATAGCCATCATAGCAGAAACAGAATTCCACAGTCTCTATGAACAATTTTGCAATTCAAGTTCACATGGAAATGGTAATTTCCTTTCCTGAAGAGAAATACAGAAATGGCATTCATTATGATTAGGACCTTGTAAGTGCAGAAATGTGGAAGTGTGAAATTTATAACACTATAAACTTGCTTATTACAAAAACATCACTGCAGAGTGGACCTAGATTTTTTTCAGACTTAGCTCATCTTACAAGGGCTTTCAGTCTTGTGAAATGATGGCTGTGCTGACTTTGTGAATAACATAATCATAATTTTTTTTCTTCTTTTGTGGCCAGGTTTCCTATGTACATTATATACTGGACGAGGTTAACAGTAAAAAACATCTTCAGCTTTCAAAACATTCACAATGGGCACATATTGGAAAGAAAATGCTCTTAAGGATGGGGAACCTGGGGAAATTACTGGACAAAGGAGTTATGTAAAGAGATTAGGGAAATACTGTAGAGAAGAAAAAACAGTACCGCAAACACTCATCACAGAAAAAAGTCTTTTGTTGCGGAAAAATCAAGCACCGTGTGGTGTGGCCATCTGCTGCAGCTGCGGGTGGGCTGCGCTGCGTCTGTCCTGTGTCCTCCCTCCTGCAAGCATGCCATGGAAATGTGCCGGCCCACGAGACGGGTGGTGTACATGGTGCAGGGTACCGTCCCGTCATTCCCATCAGCTGCTTCTCACCAAGTTCTCAGACAAATTAGGAAGAGTCTCTCCTTGCGGGTGAGTGAGGCAAGCGTGTTTAGGCCTTTGCCGGACACTGCATGCCAGTCTTATTCAGGTAAGTCTCGTGTTTAAAGAACTAGCCCGTGTGGGAAAGCGACTTAACTACACACCAAGTCACTTCCTTCCACAGTTTCCTCAGAAACACTGAGGAATACAGTCTCAGGCGTTTATGACTTATTTCCAGGCTAGTGGCAAATCAAAAGGAGTAAAAGAGGAAACACTGTTCAGGCTAAGAACAGGAAAGCACAAGGGAAATGTACATGGAGAGAGGATGTGAACACGCTGCTAACAAGAAAGGGTACTATCTCTAACATCTGATAACAGCCCCAAACATTTACATTTTCAATTCATCAACCTCAAGGGTTTTATATGTATTTGAGAAGGGCACTTCTGCTTATTAAACATGTCACATTGCCCTTCCACAAGCTGGAACTGTGTCATACACACGTGGATGCAAAGATGACTAACCCTCCATTCCTGATGTTTGGATCTTCATAAAAAGCAATGAAGCCAAATTTAAGCTTAGCTTTTTAAGTTACTACCTGTCTAAGGGAGTTTTTAGAAGTACACAAACACTGGTAAACTGATATCCATCCTGGATGTATGCTGATAATGTAATTTTAAGAACAGTCTATGCCCTTGCTGTTGCACCTCTGCAACAGGTACTTCCGAGTCTGTGCTCTTCTCTGTGCCAGTTACTGTGCTATGTGATCTACGTATGACTCCATTCGATTCTTTTTTTACTCAGGAAGAAACTGAGTAGTTAAACTCGTGCAAGGCAACACAGCCAGTGAGTGGCAGAGCTGGAACTTTGAGACTCTTTACTACTATCTGTAAAGGCCAGAGAGTCAATATTTCAGCCTTTGCAGACCACTCTCTGTCACAACTACCCGATTGTGCAGCTGTAGTGTGCAAGCAGCCATAGTGCGTAAATGAACAGGTATGGCTGTGTCTCAATAAAACTTTATTTATAAAAACAGGTGGCAGGCCATAGTTTGCCCCTTCTAACTAGGCTCAAGTTTGTTTGGGGTGGGGGGAGATATGTTTATCCTGCCACATAAGCTCTTATAGGGCAGTACCTGTGACTCTTTCACTTGCTTTAGCGTGGCTGAATGTAGATACACTTTATTATCAATCCATCAACAAGTGTTTCTCAGAATAGGTTGGGTGTTCAGTTGTTAAGAATTTCACGGTCTAGTTGGGGAAGACAAGATCTATTTCTAAAAATGAAGTCTATTATGAAAAGCCATACAAGTACTGAAGTGGGTGCAATAGGTTCTAAGTGCTGCATGAAAAGCTTAAAGGGTGGATACTGTCACTAAGGATGCTGGGACTTCATTGGACCATGAAATCCCAAAAGTAAATACTTCCTGAATATTCACCATGTGTCAGGCATCATGCTGAATGTCACATATATGTTAGCTATTATAGTCTAACAAAGCAATCCCATGAGTTTGGTCGTAAGGCCCAGAGGAATCAACTGACTTGATCATGATCTACAAATAGGAAGAGTCAGAACTGGGACTTGAGCCTAGATAGACTCACTTCAGAGATGGACTCTTGACCAGAAAACTGTGTTCTCTCCCCAAAGAGAGGCAGAGGTGGACTGTAACCAAATAAAAGGGAGAAAAAGAAGGAACTATACTGGTTGATACACAATTGGTCAAAACTACTGTATTGTTCCTTCCTCTGATCTGGCTATTTCAAAAGAGATGAGAAGCTTTCGTTTTCTATGACTTTTAGCACTGTTAAGGAATGAATGTTTTGTGTCACTTACAAGACCGGGAAAGCAATAATTCACACTTCATCAATTAACACATGCAGGCTCGCAGGCAAGGCAGAGTGGCACCCTGCAGTATGCCAGCTCTTGCTTTGGTGCTAGAGGCTGACCCTGTCCCCAGCAGCTGGGCTGTCTGAAGGGGGCTGACTTACCATCATATTCTGGGAAGTAGTCAACTAGATGGGAATACATAATTTTCTCCTCTAGAAGGTCTTTCTTGTTTAAGAACAGGATAACTGAGGAGTTCTGGAACCAGGGATATGTGATAATTGTTCTAAAGAGTGCTTTGCTTTCTTCCATTCGGTTCTGGAAAAAAAAAACAAAAGAAAAAATCAGAAAAACAAGGAGTGAATTACGCGATTACTCAATCTGTGAACTGTGTTTATTTTGTAAGTCCATCTCATCTTCTGTATGCATCCAATTTTTATAGTCTTGGGTTAGGTTTGGAAGGATTTGTATCCAAATGATTCATGACACTTGCTGGCTGTTTTCATTATGCAAACTCTCAGGTTGACAAGCAAAAGAGAATAATAATAAATATCTGGTGAAATAACTCTTAAGGTTGAAAGAAAAAATAATCAAAGCCTAGAGAATCATGTATCTGGCACATGGTCATAAATTTCCAACAGAAATGATTTATTCGTGACCAAATACTTAAGATCTGAATAAATACCAGGCTTCATTTTACATATCCTAAATTATATTTATTTGGAGCCTCACAATGAACTCTATCTTAAACAATCAAAACAATGTTACTTAATTCTTTGCCCAAAGCTCATCTATATTTCTAGAATTATTACTACTTTATGTATATATAAAACTCTTGATAAGCAAACACATGGAAAAATAACTCAAGATCATACATTTCCCATTCATCAATGCACACTTCACTGGAATTTCCATACAGAATTGTGGAGATATACATAGTAATTACCTGGAGCTACGAATGTAATGTTTCTTACCTTCGGCATGTGTCACTAAGTGTTCTCACCTGTACACTTTCAAGCCTACCTTGCTAACAGAAACCCTAAACAGATTCTCAAAGAAAAGAGCCTGCTCTTAGACATGAAGAAGCTAATAGAGGCTGCTCCCGAGACACATCGCTCCTCTTGGAAAATGAACTCACCAGGCACAAGTCAGTGAGCCTCTCCAGTTGGTCCTCCCACAGACACGTGTGCCTCTCTAAATCTTCCCACCCTTGGGTCACAGATAAAGGCAGCAGATTTGGGAATTCTCCTTTCCCTGAAGGTATCCAGGCCATGGTATATGGATGCGTTTCATCCTGGACACAGCAATGAGATGACCCTTTCCAACCTTCTTATGTAGTTCTACGTGTTATGACTGAGTTTTGGGCAATGGAAAGTCTGCCTGGAATGAAGCTACCTTCCCTGCTAAGGGGGTGGCTCGCTGGTTTAACGCAGAGCATCCTAGTCCCTGGCCAAGTGGGTTGGTTCAGAGATGGGCTCTGATCCCAGCCCAAGTTGCTCAGAGATTCCCTTCACTGGTTTATGGTAATCAGTTTAGCCAAGCACCTCAACTGGGCCAATTAACCCCAGGAACTTTTGCAGGGAACTCTGGAACAGAGAGCCTTGCATTCATGAAGAATGTGGAAGAGGAATCATGTAGCCTCAGGATCTTCTAGTAGCTATCTTGAAAAAAAGTGAAAAAGAAATTAGGACCTGCTCACCTGATTTTAACTGCCTGCTCAAACCATGCCTGAATTTGGTCATGCCTTTGGATTTTTCAGTAACATTTAATTATATAAAATACTGGGCTGATACAGTGAAAGATTCATTGCATACATTCCTCTTTTATATAAATGACATACACAGCCTTTAAAAGTATCTTTACTATCTACATGCCTTTTACTGCTTATCATAGCCAGTGCTAAAATTTTAAGCCTTGGAAATAATGCTCACTGAGAAATGATATCTCGCAGTTTGAAATTTTACAGGCTGAAAATTTCAGGACTGAAGAAAAACAAAGGCCCTAATAAGTACGAAGAAATTTTTTAAAAATTTGAAGAAACCTAATTAGATAGTGATAGAAATATTTTTTCTCCTTACTTATAGCTGAAGAAATTCTAGCAAGTCATACTAAGGTCTTCAAAGAAGCCCTGCCTAAAGGGTGGGTATGTGAACCTTGACACCAACTGGTGAGTCTTTAGACTTATCATTATACTTAGCATTCTCCAGAAGGTGTGTGACAGCCCCCAAGGGAAGAGGCCCTATGTGGGCCTTTTTGGTTGGAGTCCTTGAAGGGGAAGTGGCTAGACCCTGGGCAGAAACAGTGGTCCTGACTTTGCATTAACATAGAAGAAAGCGCCTCAGATCTCTCTGATTAAGAGTTCCAAGACTGGACTGGAGCCCCCAGGTTCCAGGTGGAATCTGCTGGGAGCCTGCAGGGCAGCGGCCAGGAGTGTAGCTGAGCCCAGCACTGTGCTCCAAAGATGACTTGCCTTGGGGGCCGTCCCTCTGGGCCCAGTGCTGCTGCACTGAGGGCCACTCCGAGCAGAGCCTGCTGAACTGACCTGGTCCCACTGAAGCTTCGCCTGTGTGTACAGGTTGGGGCTGCTCTAGGATATTTTCCATTCATGATGAGCCCCGTGGACTGCAGCTTGAGCTTCGAGTACAGGGTAAAGCCAGAGAGCAAGAGTGGGCAGCTGATGGGCAGATCAGCATTCCTGTCCTTCACCCAGACCTACCCAACTGAATCTCTAAGGGTGGGCTCAGGAATCTGCGTTTTAACAAGCCCCCATGTGATTCTGATGCACACTCAATTCTGAAGCACTGTGCTGAAGATGGGCTTCTCCAATGTCAATGTCATTAGGAATCACCTGGGATCTTGTGAAAACATGGATTCTGCATTAGCATGGGGTGGGGTGGAGGGTTTGCCTTTCTACCAAGCTCCTAGGTGAGGCTGGTGCTGCTGACCGACTCACAGACCACAGATGAGTTGGAATGTGTAGAAAGCTGCCGAGCCAGGGATGACGAGGAGGAAGGCGACACTCTCCCTACCCCACTTGCGTGAGAGCAGGTACAAGTCCACAAGTACCACCCGGCATCAGATACTTGCAATGCAAATTGCCAACTAACATGAGTTCAGAGTCTTAACATTATGCTGCATGACTTGTTTTTCATTCTGTAGTGAAAATTCCTTATGCCTTTTTTCCCTCCTCATGGGAGAATAATTACAAACCAATAGGTTGTTTGTCAAAGGCCCGGACTAAATCCTAGATGGACTAATGAAATTTTCACGACAACTTACAAAATACTGTAACGTGCACAGTGTGAGGCATGATCCACTTTGCTCAGTAAAGATGGAAATCAGTGAGGGAATGGCAAGTCTCAGGAGGCTTTGTGGCACTTCGTTTTTAGTGATTTGCCCAGGCATAAGGTTTTTTTTTTTTTTTCCTTTTTGTCTTTTTTCGTGTCCGGCAATGGATCGCAACCCTCAGTGTCGCGCCCGTACCGGACCAGGACTGGCAACGGGATTGCAACCCTCGGTGCTGCGCCCGCACCTCGCTCAGCCAGTGAGCGGGAACCGGTCTGTATGTGGGATCCGAACCCTCGGCGGGAGCACCACCGCGCTCCCAAGCGGCGCACTGTAGCAGTGCGCCACCGGGCCGGCCCCAGGCATGAGGTTTTAATGAGGAAAACAAAAAAGCAGCGCATGAGACGCGTGTGTTGGACAATAAAGAACAAAGAGGTCTGGTCTGGTCTGCTCTGAAGGTAGGTTTAAAGGAGTGCAGGGGTGGTGCTGTGCACACCTTCCTTTCCCTGGGGTTTTAACTAGTTGGCAAATATACACAGAGGATACTAGTAAAGGTTTACTATCCCAAACACAGGGCTCCTTATTAACCAGGTGGGCCTGGCCGGCACATGAAGCCCAAGGGGGCTTCCAACTCCTGGTTATCCCACCCACTGCTTCTCCCCGCCTGAAAGTAACTGTCCCTCCCAATTAAGGTGGCCCCGATGCGGTTAAAAAGCTGGAATAGGGACAGCAGAGATGGGGTGAGCCTGCCAGAAATAGGTCCTGCCTGGTCTCTACCTGCCACAGAGAGAGAAGGGAAGACCAAAGAGGCCACAGAGCTTGATGATGGGCTGTCAGTGACCACAATGGCTGGGTTGGTCTCTATGCAGTCACCTGCCTCAGGTATGAGTGGCCACAGAAGTATCAGACTCACCCAGACCATGCTGACAGGTAAGTCACTCTTCCCACGAGTGGAACCAGCCAAAGGGTACAGTACTAAGCTGGGAAGTGCTCATCCTGATCCCCTGCCTGGGGGAAGGACAGGCTCCCTTGCTCCCTGCTTTGTAACTGCAGCAAGCTGGTGTGACCTGAGTGTCCTCCTTCGGCAGCCATTGGAGAAAGCCCCGTTCAAGCCATCAGCGAGGGGTCTTACACCTCTAATCTTTAACAAATCAATTCTCAAGAGCTCTAATGTCTAGAAAACATGGCTTTTCACTGCGCTCCACTGCTACCGCATGACTGATGAAGGCTGACTACAGGGTGAAGCCCCGAGCTCCAGCCTGGCATTCATGGCTGGCCCCCCTCTTCAATCTGAGCCCCTATACAAATGCTCTCTTCTCTCGATAAGCGGACTCAGTGTCACCACTGGCACATAAGCATGACAGCACTTCCCTGATCTGTGGCCTGTGCTAATCCTGTGCACTAATCCTCCAAGACCCAGGTCAGCCCGACTTCCCCAAGCAATCCTTCCCAGGGCCCCCTTAGGCTCACTCCTTCCTCCCATCCCCAGCACGCGGTCCTCTTGCTAGCATGCCACCACTCAGGAGACACATGTGAAGGATGTGCTAGATGCTGGGCATGAGTGTGTTGCTGAAAGATGGAAGAAGCCAGGCACGCTGGTGCATAATGACAGGTTGGGGCGTGGTGGGCCTGAAGTTTGGTAACCACAGGCAGCTGGGGTCACACAGGCAGGAAGGCTTAGCAACAAAGGTAGTTTTGAGTTGAATCTTCATCTGTGAATGAAAGATTATAAGGAGGCAAGGAGAGCAAAGCAAAGCAAAGGAGAATTTAGACCCATGGTCTTTAGAAGGGATCTGTGAAAATTCTGAATAAAATGGTTCACCAGCCACTGATCTCTGTAACTTGTGCATCAAATAAGAACAATTCTCTGTGTGGAGAATGCGAAACATTTCCTCACTGGCATCTGACAGGGGCAGGGATGGCACAAACACGCTAAGTTCCATGAAGAACACGTGTGCTCCAGCCTCTTTCATTTCTAAAATAAGCTGCTGGGTCGGCAATGCCTGTGTGTTTCCAGGGAAGCCCCTTTGGAT